CAAACTCAGAGGGCGCTTTGCTATTTCATTCCAGCCATTCAGTGAAGAATTGTTATAAATCCCCACTGATACCTTTGCCTCAGGTGGCGAAGCTCTGATTATGGCTACATCGGTATTTTTGTGTAGTAGCTGCGCTAGTAAATATAAACCTTCCTATGGACACCAACAGTCAACAGAAGTTCCTAGAGGTGTTAGCCACAGAAAGCAGGGCGTTTCACTTTTTAGAAGTTTAATCCTTTTTGCTGGCAATATGCCATGACGCAGTCATAGGACAAGTGGGGGTATTCTTTGACTGACTAAAACAAGCCCTACTGCATAGTTTTAGAATGACTGCATGAAACCGCCAGTCAACTTAGCGGCGGTTTTAAGGCCATTAGGTATATTAACATGATATTCTATGGATACTTATACCGCTGGACGCCTTTCATGTACCTCCTACATCTAAGGAAGAAAAGGTCCACAATGATCCACCTTGTGCAACATGGCGTCACTGCGATGGGTGAAGACACAAAAGTTAACAATCCAGTCTTCAAAGCTCTCTCACGCTCTTTCTCAATCCCTCCTGATGATAGTCTAATGTCGAAATTGAATGTACTTTAAGCAAGCTGATACTCATTGTAAGGCCAAACCTCTTTTCTATAAATAGGCGAGATGGCAATCACATATGGCTCCACCAGTCTTCATTACACATCCAGCTATCACGTAAGCACACGCCATACTCTTTTGGTCTCTCAGTCGAAGCCATTTGTACCAAAGCCTCGCTTATTGGTTAATCTGTTTGAACGCTCGGCATAATCCAACCACGCACTCATAAACACTGGTTTATAACTTTTCTGGCGGTTTGGAGCGTCATCACCATCACTGCCCTTTATTGCTCCTGTGTCGAGTGAGGCGTTAGACTTCATAAAAGTAGATACCCAACATGAGCCACATTAATAGTCAAGAGTGGCTGGTGTCATGCATACTAATTGTTTTCCATTTTTTGAATACTCTTGAATTCAAAGCCATTTAGCAATGCGCACCACAGCAATGCCCCACTTCCAGAGTGGATTTTCAATTTTGAGTATTTAACACAATTTCAAACTATACATTGGAGTAATTGCTAAAAGTAAAATCTCTTTAATTGTCCCTTAAGTTTTGCATCTTTATGGTCTATGTCTTTTCGTTATTGCGTTTT